CCATAACAATTAAATTTTTATTTTAAAAATACACTTTGGCTGATACGGGAAAGATTTGAGGGGAATAAGTGGATTAATAAAGACCTCTTTGGAGGATACTGGAGATGCTTGTGCTAGGAAATGACAGAGAAGGAAAGATGGATGATTTCAATAAGTATTTAGAGTTAGTCTGATCAATTCGAGTTTCAGTTGTTGGAGATCACAGGGGTTACATGTGGCATTTTTCAGAGGTGGTCATGAATAGGCAGAACTGAATAACCCATGTTAAGCTGAAGTATAATGTTTGTGTTAGGTTTTGAGATAATTACTGCTTCAAAGTTATGTTAAGGTTATGATCTCAGGAAACTTGATTTGTATCCTCTAGGTAAAGAGAATTAATGAGATATGAGAACAAGAGAGTAACAAAGTTGATATAGTGGTTATTTATATGGCACCGTAATAAAGTGCTAGTCAAAGGAAGTTTGGCTTAGTTCATCACCTAGATTTTTGTACCTGGTTTTCCTGCCTATACTCTTACCCTCCTAACCTGGCAGAAGTCTAGCCTACCTTTTTTTTTTTTTTTAATCAGCTATCATTAGACATCCTCCCTCTTGGATTTATTAAAAGTTTTATTGTTTCCTGGGCTTTCTCTCACTTCTGAGCACTTGTGCTGCTGTCTGTTATACCAAAGTTTGCTTCTACCTCCCACCCCACACACTTGTATTTATTTTAAATCAAGACTTTGTTCACCTAAACATTACTTATTTTATAGTAAAATCTTTCAGTCTGTTTTCCTCAAAGTTAGATATTCCCTTGTGTTCCCAAAGCACCTATACAGATTTTTATATTGTAATTATTTATTACAGATCTGTCTCCCAGCTAGAATGAGCTTGTTCAAGACTTGGGGCTGTTATTTCATTTTTGTCTTAACACAATTCCTGGCATAATTCATATAGTAAACCCTCAGCATGTTTGTTGAAATGCAAAGGGAGACCAGTCAGGAGGTTTAAAAAAATAGTAAATAAAACTAGTCCAGAGTTTAAACTAACATGATGATAGGAAGAATGGTAAAAATAGATGTGAAAGCCGCTCTGAGGAAAAGATAGAACTTGATAGGTGTGTAGAACAAAGCAGAAGAAAGTAACTCAGGAAATCAGTTTTAAAGATTACTGATTTAGGTTATTAAATTGTATTTCTCTGGTAGAAATGTCTAGCAGCACTTTAAAATATGTTGCTAGAACCTTGAGTTAAGACTGGACATAGATTCCGAAATCAAACTACGTTGGTTTGCTATAAGGAAGAGGACCACTCTGCCATGGGATGTGTTTCTGTCCCCTGGGAATAGGATTTCATGCATGAGCCAGCATTTGCCAGCATTATAGAGAATAAATGGGTTTCAGAGTAAGTTCCTCTTTAGAAATTTATGTAAAATTAAATATTCTGTCTTGAATATGATCTAAATCTTTTTTAAACCCATATTTATCTCTATCTATACACATACACACATGCATACATATATATTTTCAAGTTTTATTTATAAAGTATCCTGTTTTTTTTCCCTTGGCCATTTAAAAAGCTCCACACCTTGCCTCTTATTTCTTATGTTCTGTAATTGCCATTCATTTTACTTGGATCAGGGGCCACTTCACCAGTCTTTAAAGTTGTTGATTAAAATTATCTCAAGTTTGGGGATTCTTTTTCTGTGATTATTCTGATTTACTGCATTGGTCTTGAAATACTATAGTTAAATATTGAGAATATCATACCTTAAGATTTCCTAGCTAGTCCAAGTTAAATAATGAAGTGTGTACACACACACACATACACACACACACACACACACACACACACACACTATACATATAGTTCTCGTGGAATCAAAGGGAAGATAAAATGTCTTTATTAAATTTTTTAGATCTGTGTTCCAAAAAATCTTAAGAAACTTTGCTTTTGGCACACACATATGTTCTTTAGTAAAATCTTTTTATTTTTTCTTTGTTATGATATCTCGTATGAGAGTCGAGAGTTGGTCAGTTAACAAAGCAGATACAGGTTCTTGATATGTTTGCTTGAAAAAAGCTGACAAATTGTATAAACCAAAGATCCTAACAAATTTTATATGTATTAATATAAAATGAAGTATGATTTATTTTTAAATTCCCATTTACCAAGTTGACTTTAATAAAAATGTTATAACCAGTCATTTTGATGTATTTCAAAATAGTGTTGACATATCTCTTTGAAATTGATAAAAATTAATTTCTAGATTCTTTTGATTTCTATTTATTCTCTTCCAGGAGGTAATGTTATACTTTTACATTATCATCCATCCATCCATCTATCCATCCATTAGTGTCAGCTCTCCTTCAAAATATATCCTTTATCTAACCATTTCTAATCACTTCTACCACTGCCATCATCTCTCATTAGCCTTTTTCCCTGTCCATTCTTGTCCCCTCTTTTGTTCAGTTCTTACAGAGTAGCTGTAATCATTTGGTGTATATATATGCCAAATTATGTCAATCTTAAACTGCCTGCAAACCCATCTCACATAGAATAAAATCCAATGTCCTTCAGGCCTTCAAAGCACAACATGATCTGGCTCCCACCAGTACCTCTGACTTCAGTTCCTACCATGTTCCACTAAGTTTATGCTGCTTGAGCCACACCACTGAGGATCTTGCTGTTCCTCTATATTGAATACTTTTCTTCTTGTTATCCTCCCTTCCTAGCTATCCTAAAATACTTTCCTACCCCATTTTATCATTATACGAAATAAAGGAGCAGCCATTTAAAATTAAATGAAACTAGTTTTTATGAAAAACTTACTATGTTGTCTTTTTTTTTTTTTTTTCCCTTTCTGATATTGCCATAGATCAGAAAATTCTTTCTTTCATCCCAGTACCTACCTATCTCTGGACTGGGGTTTGCATTTGCAAAGCAGAGTATTATACTATTATCTGTCTTTGCTTAAGTCATGTAAGAATAATTAGTATTTTCACTGATGTGTAATTTGTATTGAAGCACATAAAACAAAAATGACAGTTTGCATATTTGTGTTTTTTTTCCTCTGGCTCGTGCACATACACACAGTGAATCTGGTATTGATGAAACATTTCTGTTTTCCTTTGTGTGAGGCATTTCTTATGTTTAGTTTTGCTTTCAAAACAGTAAAACCTCTTTGCACAATATTAGCATGAAGTTTTTTATACAAATTTAATTTTGGAATTCTAGGAGTCTACAATTAGTTTTGAAGATGTTATACAAAAATTGTCAAAAGACAAGTTTATTCTGTATCCATTTGAGTTAATTTATGGGTGTTAAATTTGATTAGAGATACTCTGGTACTGTCCTGGAATTTTAATGAATTCTGTAAGTGTCATGTCATTTTTTTCCTGTATCCTTTTTTAAAGTAGAGCTCAGTAGTATTGGTCCTTTAAAGAGAATAAATGTATCCTTGACTTTTGCAAAACAAACATCTAAAATAAGATATGTAGAGTCTTAATCTGTAGATAATAAAGTGCTTTTCTTCTGTCACTTTTTCTAAAATTAAACTGACTGCGACACACTTCTTTTTCCTGTTAGAGTCTACTTAGGGGGTTGATGGATAGGCATGTGGGTGGGATACTAGTCCCTGAAATTACATTTGGAATGACAGAATAGCTTTTATGAGATTTGCCAGGAAGTCCACTGCCCAAAGGTTAAATATGTTCAAACAAATTATTGCACCTTTTAAAAATATCTTTTATTTTTAAGGTATTTAAAAATATCTTTTACTTTATTTATAAAGAAATTAATAGCCCAAAACATATAGTAAAGCAGTGGTTATATTCTCTTTCACACTGTTGTTCATATTTAACAGAGTAACTTTTTCTCGGACTTCAACAGGAAGAATAAATATTTGGGTTTTCTACAGTTTTAACAGGGAATTTAAGAAACAAAGCAGTTATTAGCATGGGTGCTTTCAACAAACTTGCACATCAAATTTGGCCCTTAAAGTCTATGATATTAGTTCACTATGTCTACTGATAAATAGTAGTAACTACAGTGTTTCATTTAGAAATGAGAAAAGAAATTGTTCATGTCTTATTTACAGTGGAAGAAAATACCCTTTCATAATGAGTTTACAAAGCAGATGTCAAATTTGATGTTTTCCCCCAAAAATTTTTGTGAAAAGATGTAGTTGTCACCATGTACTCAGTTCTTTACAAATCTCCTATCATGACTGTTCAGTTTACTTTGAACTACAAAGTACTCTTGGGAGGAAGACACATTGACCTTAAATAACCTCAGTCTACTGATAATTTCGGAAACTTTCTGGAGGTAATCTTAAAAAAATTACAGGTAAAAATTAGCATAGGTTTAGTAACTATTTTGGTGTCGACTCAAAACTGTTAGTGTTGTATATGGTAAAGACTTAAAAAGCAAAAGAGTAAGCAGGTTGCATAATGGAGATCATAAATTTACACCAAAATGATGAGAAAAAATTACTGTTATATGAGTGGGTACTTGTGGCTTGAGATGAAATTCCTAGTATGCCACTGCACACTGACTCAATAAGTGCTATATCTTAATAAACTTAGATTGTAAGTGAAGATCATATACTCTACACTCTGGAAAACATAATTTAAGAAGTAGATATAGTAATGACAAAGATACTAATATTGAAGGTGTATATAAAGGTTTTGACTCATTAAACCCAAACTTAAAAAAATCTTTGTATCAGAAAATTATATTTGGAGTTGCAATTTTTTCAAGAGGAAGTGCTATTTTAAAGTAAGTGGAATAATTGCATAAGGCAGACTTTAAATTTCTCTTCTTACTTTTAGAGCTGGAAATAAACATTTAATATTATATTGTTATAGTCAGATTTTTGACTTTCTCACTAACCATTAGCCTTTAGTCGATCTGTTTCTTTATCTTAGCAATGCTCCCTTCGTTTTCTGTTTTTGCTTAAGAGTAAGGTAAAGTTTAATATTTTCCAAAATATTATTCTTGATAAAAGTAATATTTTTGTTTAGGTGACAAACAGCATGTTTGGTGCTTCAAGAAAGAAGTTCGTAGAGGGGGTCGACAGTGACTACCATGACGAAAATATGTACTACAGCCAGTCTTCTATGTTTCCACATCGGTCAGAAAAAGATGTAAGTTAATCAGTTACATTGTGTGTACTCAATGGTGTAAGCCTGTTTCTCTTTCTGGTTCCTGAGAAGCAGTATGTGAACTGCGGAGTGCTGCTGTCTTTGTTTGAGTGACTATGTCTTAAGTACATTGCTAGGCCTTCGGGATACCAAGATGAGCCTAAATTCTAATGGGAGATAAAGTGTTCTATAATTCTCAAGTTAGGATATGGTAATACTGTGGTAGGAGGTACTCAAAGAATAAATGGAGTAAACATGGTGTTCTAGATAATCGATTTGTGTGTGTGTGTGTGTGTGTGTGTGTGAAGTATCTTATTTTTATATTAAAACACATAGTATAGAAAGCAGATTTGCACAAATTTAAAGATACAATGGCAGGCTTCAGTGAAACTTTACCTTTGCTATGTAATCTTCTGATTATAATCCTAGGCCTCAGATAGGAACAGCATCTCTCCTATATTCAGTTCTAGAGATGCTTTGATAGAAAAGTTTTTGAAGAACTGTATCCAGAACGTGGAAGATGATACAGAGGTATGAATTAAATGCTTTAGAAAGATAGTAGTTCAGTAATCCCATTAGGAATGAAAGGATTTAGGACACAGCCAACTCATAATTAGCCAATTGATAAAATATTTTAAATAAATTCTGTTGTTATTTTCAAATTCTGGTAAGCTAAATTATACACTGTACATTAAATCTTCACTTAATGTCATTAGTAGGTTCTTGGAAACAGACTTTAAGCAAATGACATAATGAAACCAGTTTTACTATAGGCTAATTGATAGAAACAATAGTTAAGCTCCTCTGGCATATTCTGTTCACAAAAACATCACCAAATTTCTAAATAAAATACTTATAATACTAAACATTGAAATAAATTTGAGCTATACATACATTTAAGAAAGATTAATAAGAACGAGAATTATTTTCCAACCTGCTTATTCTAGGTTAGAGTCGAGGTTGGCGAGAGCCTATCCTGGTAGCTCAGGGTGCAAGGCAGAACCCAGCCCCGGACAGGATGCCATTCTGTTGTAGGGTGCACTCATACGTACAACATCCATCCACACTTACTCATACTGGGACTATTTAGATGCACCAGTGATCCTAATGTTAAAACATCTTTGGGGTGTGGGAGGAAACCAGAGTACCTGGAGAAAACACACACAGACATGGGGAAAATATGCAAGCTCTGTAGTCAGTGGTCCCCACTGGGAATCGATTTACTTTTTTCTCACCAACGTTACAATGAAACATTAAATGACATTATTTGAGGACCTGCCGAATACTATAGTCAAACCAGTTGCAATCTTGTATTCTACCTTTTTTACCCTTTGAAATCTTTATAAACTTGCTATTCCTAATTTCTCTATCTTTATAATAATCTACTCTAGTTATTAACCTAATGAGATTCTTAATAATTTTTAAAACATAAAATTCTATGATATGTAACAAATGCCCTCATTTTTCATTAAAGTTTATGATTAGTAAATCACTTTTTCTGTCTTTTAGAATTTCAAAAATTGGCTTAACTTAGGTTTAAGTTAGGATTTCGGTGGTTTTTAAAACTTTTCTCCCATTTTTGTGTTATTCCCTTTTATTTTTATTTGAAAATTGTGTCATTTTGCCAACAGACTATCAATTGCGGTATTAGGGCTCTTCAAATTATGTGTGTTGTGCTTTCTTTATAATTAGTATGCAGTTTAACAGCTCATAGAATAATGCCATCCAATTAATTTTGTTATATTACTGTTCCAGCTATTCGCTCTTTGATGTAAATTATATTTGTTTTTTACACAAGTTGCTATTTTTAAGTATTGATCTTGTAGTTAAAGAATTTGGGACGTCTTTCTGGTAGCATCACTGCAGAAACTATAAAACTAATCTACCTGTGTGTTACTGTGATTGTAGTACAAGTTAAGATTGATGGAAAAGTGGCAATGGACTGTTACTTATCGATGAAAAGCCTTTATTCTGATAAGGATAATATGAAACTTTCAAAAGTTTCATGAATCTGAAATAAAATATGTGAAAGAAATGAATGATAGGGTTGTCTGTCTTCTAGAGAGCAGAAATACTACTATATGTTAGAGTTTTGTAGTCAGAATTATTTACATCCATTCACATACTCACATATATTGGTTACCATTCCAGTCTAGTTGTTTGTCATAGAACTAACACAGAATAATTTGCTTCAAAAAACTTTTTTTAAAAATGAGTCCAGAAGGTAATAAGACATAGGACTTAGGAATTTGGGCTCTCAAGCAGTACAGGTATATGTTTGGATCGTTGCCTGTTAGCAAGAACATCTCCACACCTCAGTTTTCTCATTTGTAAATGGTAATAATTACATATGTAGTACCTATTTATAAATTTTTGCTGTTGCTGATATTATACAAATTTTAGAAAATATGCATGAGGAAGAAAAGTATTTATAATGTGGATAATCAAGAATAATTTATTGCTAAGCATTTTAATTTTATACTTTACATTTTTATTTTTTTTAATGTTATTTAAATCTCTGGGACATATTGACATATTTTCTATTAGAAAGTTTGTGGCAATTTTTACTTTACTTTATTAGCGCTCCATTCCCTCAAGAATGCCATCTACCTTTAAGTCTTTGCCAATAAACAAAAGAAGCTCGTTTTAATGTACAGTAAAACATTGCTAAATTTGTGCGCGCGTGCGCGCGCGCGCGCACACACATACACACACACACAGTGATGTGTCTTTTCATGTAGTTACTGGCCAATTGTATTTCTTTCTTTGTGGATTACCTATTTTTGTGCCATTTTCTATTTTTCTGTGGTACATAAGTTATATGATTTAAATGGTTTAAGGTGTGAATGTTATGCCAGATTCTCCTTTGCTGTGAATATCCAGTTGTCCCAACACCATTTATAATTAGATCACCAGTCAGAAAACTTCCATAAAAGACCAGCTAGTAAATATTTTAGGGTTTGCAAGCCAAGAGCTAAATAAAGGATATTAAGTAGGTATTTATATAACCAAATAAAATGTAAAAAAACCCAAAACATTCTTATTTCATGCACCCTATAAATATAAGCAATGTGCTATATTTGGCTTTTGTTCAGTAATTTGGTCTCCCCTTGGTTAGACCATTTATATATGGCTAATTGAAATTTCTTCCTTAGTATATACTAATGTTTGATGTATTCTTGGGCCTGTTTCTAAACTCTTGTTCTGTGGCAGAACTACAACATAGTTGAATTGCTGTGGTTTTTAGACAGTTTTCACATCTTAGTCAGATAAGGTCTTTCCCATCTTTTATAAAAATGTTTTTGACTATTGCAACATTATATGATGTTTACCTTCTTTCAGGAGAATATGTGTATTTTTTATTCCTTTTGTTCTTTATGACTTTTAATAAGTAGGATTTTATGGTTGCCATTTTTATTACATTTTTCCGATTGTTTTTTTACTGATCTATAGAAAAGTTTGTGTATATACTTAAAACCAACTACCTTACAGAAACTCTTATTAATTTTTGTTCATTTGGAATGTAGATTCTGGAAATCCTACTATATGAGTTTATACTCAGCCACATGGTTTACTAGCTATGTGTCTTTGGGCAGTTTCTGTGTGTCTTTGTTTTCTCATCTATAAAATAGGAATCATAATTTATGACTCATGGGTGTTTATAAGGATTGCATGAATAACTCTGCAAAACTTTTAGAAGACCAGGTAGAGGTAACTGATAAATAAATACTGCTAGTGATATGAATAACAACATCACTCTTTCAGTTGCTTCTCTTGGGTTTTTTTAGGTATAGTTGTGTATATCATCTGCAAGTAATGATTATTTTGTTCTTTATAAAACTTTTGAAGAGAAAAAATTTTTGAATTATAAACAACTGAGATCATTTTTAAATTTTTTCTCTGGGAACAGTGAGAAAATAATTTTAAATTGTAAATTACAGTAAAGGAAAACTGGGCAGTAGTTGAGGGAATCTTTAAGCTAATATCAAAAAACAAAACAAAACAAAACAAAACAAAACAAAAACGTTAGTTTTCTGATTAACTCTGTTCATAGAGCATAAAATGTAACTATTCCTTAGTCATATACATGGTTGTAGAAGTATCTGAGAAATTGTTCTTTATGAAATTGTATGCTAATTAAATTGCTAAGTAGTTCTTTAGGCTACTACTTAACTTTCCAAGATTTTTTGAGAGATGCCTGTATGTGTGTATGTCTTTCTATAGAATGCTAAATTTGCTCTTTTGAAATATAAATGTAGTTTTGTAAATATTACATATATGCTACTTAAATGTTTTCACAAGACTTAATAAATCATAGGCAGATATAGGCTTGATTTCTTTTTTATCTTAATTATTTTCTTTTTGGAGACCTTACAGAAAACAATAAGCATTCATATAAGCCATGTAATTGATGACTCGAGTTTTTTTAAAAAGTATATTTGTATTTTAATTGCTAACATATCTTCTAATTTTACAAGTCTATGTACTCACATGATGATTCTTAAGCATAATTATTTTAGAAGGACAAACATGTGAGTACCTTTTTTCTTATTTTAATATATGCTGGAAAGACATGAAATGTGACACCTGTTCCTTACTTTTAAAAAACTCTTAAAACTGTTAAGAATAGGCTACTTCCTTATTTTGAGAAGTAGCAACCAGTTTGAATTCATACCTAGCTTTCATACTTGCGTTAGCCTACAGCAGGTATGGCAACCAGAATTTCTCTCATTAAAATCTAGTATAAAATAAGGATACTTTCTATCACCATTGTCATTGTCATCCTCATGATTAGTATTTTAGTGCTTTCTGGAATCATGCTGGGCTGACTTTCCAGCTCATTGAATTCATTCTGTATCAGAACCTTAGCACTTTCATTTTTCAGATCTTCACATGGTTCTCTCTCTTTCTCAATACATCCAGGTAGCTGCTAAAATATCTTACCTAAGAAACCTCTCTGATCTCTCTTTTCCTAAGTAGCCTTGTATATACTATCAATACTC